CTGAATTTTTATAGGTCATTTAGAGCGAGATCAGCATCAGTGTTGATCCTAATCCTACGCTATCAGAATGTGGATTTTGTAAAAAGCTTTTTGCTCTTAATAAATTGATAATTTATTATTAATTGTTTATTGATAATTGCTTTATCTGAAACATTTAAGTGTGAAGAATATGCAAATAACCAAGATTTTTTTCACTACATTTCATATTTAAATGAATAAAATGATGTTTGTCATGTGGTTATGTTTCAGTTTGTATTCCTTTTATGTCAGAGTCTAAAAGACTCAAACGCGGACTCAGAATGAAGTTTGGTGAACTTATTTACAGTGGCTGGAAACGGTGGGCTCGAGCTGAGAGACGTGGAACATGGATGCACATGTTCCAAACAAACAAACTGTGACAGGGTTAATTAGAAAGTCGATCTCAAATGTTCCGATGTAAATGGGAGAGAGTTTGCGGGATTCAGTCTGTACCTAACACGCTTGCTGGAAAGCCAAACCTTTTGACCAGGTGAGTAACGCGGTTCAAGTGTCCTACCGCGATCCGCACATTGTTTATTCTGCTCTTTTGTCCAGAGCAGGGCTGTTTGTGTCGCCCTCCTGAGTTGCCAACACCTGCCGAGATGGTGTTAAACAGGTGGTACCAAACACTCACCTTCCACAGAGGGCAACAAGAATCACTGATAGCCTATCAATAGCGGGAGCCCAGTCGCTGAGGATGTCAGGGAGTTATGCGCATACTCGACCCAGCCCAACCTGGAGTTCCACCTGGGAACTCCAGGTGTATTGAAGAGAGGCCTGCAGCTCCTGATTTGTCCTCTGCACCTGACCATTAGTCTCTGGGTGAAATCTGGGCTCCCAGTATGGAGCAGAACTCTTTCCTCACCTGCGAGGCAAAGTGAGAGCCACAGTCTGACACGATGCAGCTGGAGCCCATCATCAGTCATTAGCTGGGCCATCTCCAGTGCGGATGGCACTTTGGGTGATAAAATGGGCTTGTTTAGAAAAGTGGTCAACAGTAGTGAGGATAATTATGTTACCTGCTGAAGGAGGAAGGCCGGTGATGAAGTCCAGGGACATGTGGGTCCAATACTGTCAGAGGAATCCTGCGGGCATGAAACTGGAAGCCTTACTTTGGACACACACCTGACAAGCTGACACATACTCCTGGTCATCCTTTTTGAGGGAAAGCCACCAAAACAAACATTGCAGGAAAATTATCATGCAGTCCAAGTCTGGATAGCATGTGAACCTGGCCGCATGCCACCAATGGATGACCTGGGATCAAACTGAGGATGGGTCGTTACCTGGATCAGGGAACCTGGGACTCGCTCTCCCACATCAGAAATCCAGCGATACAGGCGGCGATAATATAGTGGTCTCCTCTGCGGAGGCATCCAAGGGCAAGAACTGACGGAAAAGGGCATCGGGTCTGACGTTCCAAGAGTCGGGTCTGTGAGTAAAAACACAGCAACTGATCCGGAATTAAAACAGGACTACAACAGTTCAAAATCAGGACTACTGAGGACTTAACCAAGACAGAACCAGAATCAGAACTAGATGATAGTAGCACTAAAAATCATCATAGACCTGCACTACACTTATTTTTTAATTCTACCAAAGTCCACTATTTAGATTGAGAAAAGTTTATATAATTATTTAGCCTTGTTGTGCAAACAAGCCTGCATAACTTAATAAATATAGAATTTGAAAAATAACAAACCTAAAAAGAAACACTAGGTACGAGATACATGAGGACCTTGATACGGTGATACTTTTGGCAAACAACCATTTGACTAACATGTCTGTCTCTCCCTCTTTGTGCTGACAATCATCAAATATACAGTTGAAACCAGATATTTACAAACTCTTCAGATAAAAACACTTTTTTAATTGTAACATCAAATCAGACTAAATGTTTATTTTTTTAGATTGATAAATATAAAAAACATATTGTTAACTTTAAGAGCCACACTTATGGAGCTCCACAGTTCTGTTCCTGGTGTTTTGGTTGACATCTCTTGATGTTCCCATGTCACAGAAACAGGCTCTGTGTTTTGCCTTATATGCATCCACAGCTGTGCCACCAGTTTACTCACATGGACTCTACGAACCAATCAGAAGCTTCTTCAGCTCAGAATGGAATCGTCTGCAGTTTCTTATTAATTAACAATAAACTTAGTGTACATGTACTCCTACATTTGATGAAAGTGATTAAAATAGAAGCTCTGTCTCTCTTTATTCTGACATTTAACTAATTCAAAAGATATTTCATATTTATTTATGCAAAACAAAACAAGTTTACTCTAAATTGATGTTGTACAGTAAAAAAATGTTCTTGTGTTTTCCATAAAGTGTAAATATCTGGTTTCAGCTGTGAATATACTGCTGTGTATTGAAGTTCCTCTTGTTTTGCATAGAAATATACTGAACAACATACAAAGCATAATATATAAAATAACATCTACCTGAGTTTTTCCTTTGAAAGAAGCTCCTTATGTCCATTGTTGTGTTCATCAGTACACAACTGAAACGCTTTGTTTAGCTGTGGAGGGAAACAACTGAAAATATGAAATAAACACATGTAAGCTGAGACTCTCTAAAGAAACAGCTTTGTTGTTGTTCGGCTTTTCATTTCGCCGTTTGTTGATTCACTCAAAGAGCGAGTAACGTAATATGGGTCAAGTGATCAGTTTGATATCAATCTTTGGTGATTCACCGTCATATTTACATTATTTGTACAGTACGAATGGTTTGCTTTGGTACCTGGTCAAACTTCAGTTCTCCTCGGTCTGCCTGGCTGCGTTTCTCCAACAGCGCACTCACAGGCAGCAGCTGCCCCGCCCCCTCGCTCAGTCGCTTAGTGCCTGAGCTCGGATCATACCAATATCAGGGGGGATTCACGCACAGTCGTAAATTCCCACAGTGTGCACTATGTGCTTCGAATATTGTGTGTAGTTTTTGTTTTATACAGTTGTCAGCCAGGCATCTAACTATGAAAAAATTACACTCCAAAAGACCCCGGGCTTCTGACAAAACAACCCGAGCTTAAGCCCAGTAAGCCACCCCCACGCTCCGCCACTGGATAATCATATGTGCGGGCCAGTTTATTACTACCTGGATCTGCCTGGATCTATTTATAGTCTGATCAGTGACTCAGCAGAGAAAGTGCTCTGCAGTAAATGATATAAGTGCATGTTATGATTTCATGCTGTGAGTAGTCTGTGAGCATAGCAGAAATATACAGCCATGTGTCATTAGCACAATTTTTAAGTATAACCAGTAATTAATAGCTATGTTTTATGAAAATCTCCAAAGACATGACCAACAAAATCGTTTTCATCCATGATTCAGGGAGGTAATTAACATGCATTGCTGCATGCTCAGCCCACAGCTCACCTTTGCTTTTGTATTCCTTAAATCCTGCAGACAGCATGCTTCCTGGTGACTGCACTACTTCATCTCTTATTCATGGCTTCTTTTTCCTGGATGCTGGTGGAGGGCTTGCTACTGTGGAGTAAAGTCGTGTCTGTCAATATCAGCGAGGACCGCAGGATGAAAGTCTACTATGTCATTGGCTGGGGTAAACTCTAATCTCACTGAAGCAGCTTGTCAAGTTTCAGTCTGGTTTATGACATTCAGAAAGAAACATTCATTCTAAAAACTTAATATCAGATTAGAAACTCAGAGTGTCGCCATTCAGTGAGTGGCAACAAGTCCAACAAGGATTAATTCCAAATCAACTTTACAATATCACAAAACTTTATAACAGTTAATTCTCAAATAAACTCCTGATAATGGCAGAAAGACTCTTCATCTTCCCAAATCTTCAAATATTTACTAGTTATGGGAAGTTTGGCTCTCTTCAGAGAGCCGGCTCTTTTGGCACGGCTCCCAAAGAAGAGCCGGCTCTTGTGGCTCCCAAATGGCTCTTAATTTGTTATCATCTGTAGCCTCATATTTTAGCTTTATTTGGCAAATATGAATGCTTTGTGTGTTGATAAACCCTTTTGCATTTAGCGTTTTTATGAGAAGCCTTATAATTGCCTAATTTAGTGTATTTGTTCTGTTTCAAAAGCAGGATTCTTACAAATCCACAGAACAGAAGCAGAACAAACTCAGCAGTCTGTCCTCAGTGCAGGCTGACATTCAGAAAACTCAGATGCCTCAGCTTGGATGGGCTGATGTGATTTCTCCTCTTAGTATCTGCTTCTTTAAACTGCAGCCAGATGCTGCTTCATTTGCTGCTGTCAGTTATATGTATGTGTTTCTGCGATGCACTCACACTCTCCTCCTCACCGCTGTCCTCGTCTCACTCACTGACTGAGGGGTAGTGACGCAATCCTGAAATATTTATACTTCCGTTACCAGCGTTTCATGTTTCAGGATCAATTCCTATATGAAAATGTAAATATCTATCTTGATTAAATTTGTTTTTAATCGTAAATATGACATCCAGACAAAAGTAAACTCTGCAATTAGCGGGATAGTCGGAAACACCCTGTTAATAGGAACTACAATCGCCTCCCGCCTCTCATTCATGTGCGTGCTACGCCTCCGCAAGAGTGGGAGCCAATGAGAAACCCGAGTCACAAAACATTAGAGCACAAAACACACAGTCTTGACTTGTTCACAGATCATAGCTGCGTTTACGTTCAGCATAGAAGTGATGCTGTGTGTGATGTATGTGGGAAGACAGTTAATACAAAGAGCCGATGCTTTTGTGCACATCACTAATATTCACCAAAGTGGCCTTAATGATAGTAAAGTGTGCACTTTGTTGAGTGGGCTCAGTGTAGCATAAACAACATTTAGCAGCATAAATACAACAAGAATGGTCGTGTATGTTAAACAGTTAGTTTTGGTTTGGTTGGCTCTCCTTACAAACTCACCTTTTGGGCTATTTGTGCATTATTTAAATGTAATAACTGCAAAGTCCGTCACAGTCTTTCAGCAGTCTGAATGACATTTTGACGAAATTTGTATTAACAACAAAAATAGGTACAGCTGCTTTAACAACAGTGTCAAATTATTCTGTCTATAAAGTGGTTCCTCAAAGGATACAGATAATCTAACCACAGAGAGAGTACACGTTTATTGTTTCTGTGCGTTCACAAATCCCTGACAAGGTCACTTTTAAAGCTACATTACGTAGTTCAGCTGCTACAAGAATAAGACAATGATTGGGAAGAAGACTGAGCTTTACTTTGAGTCTAGAGAAGATGCTGCTACATTAAAAGTGTAAAATGTAGACGTCACTGTAGCACATAGTGGCCACTAAGTAGTTCTGCTTATGTTTCTTTGTCCAACTTTCATTCCTTTCAAACATGTGCTCATGTCTGCTGTCACTAGATACCACTACGGCACAGAAGTCATCCAACAACCAAACTGTGTTTTGATCTGTAGCTTGGCTCAGCTGGTACTGGTGGCCAGTGAAACTGTGAAAGATGTGCAGAAGCAGAATGATGGCGAGCCCTGATGTTGTCTAAAGCCACATGTTACACATGCTTACAGTAGTTAATCAGTCAAACTGCAGATGAACTCTTTCTATATTCAAGACATGATTCCTACTAAATAGCAAACAAACCAAACAAAACAAGTTTCCTGCACCTGACTTTCAAACTTCCCAGATCCATCTGTGAGTCTGCGTGTTTTGTGATGAGAAGTGAAGCACAAACAGTTTTCAGGTGTTCCTCTCATCTCTCCATGCAGATGTGCAGAGTTACCCTTCAGAGGAGACATTCAGTGGGACAGGCTTCATAGCGCTCCTCTGTTGAAGCAACGTCTTTAAACGTGTCGCCTCTGTGACACCAGCACAGCAAGGCTGGTATAGTTCAGCACGATAAACTAAAAACTACAAATAAAAACCTTAGAAACAAAACTTTCATATTACATTCCATAATATTTCATATTATGGAATTACAGAAGTAAATAATTGAAAATTAGAGGAAATATCTTTGGATTTGGTCTTTGTGTGAAGAACTGGCGTGAGAGAGCGTTGGCGCACATTGAGGATGAGACGTGACATCTGTTGTGTCTTTTATAACTTCTTATAAAATTTCCTTGAAAAATGCACACATTATAATAAAAATGATGTATTTAAAAACCGAACACTAACATACTAATAATGTAATATACCACACCAAACTGAGACAAAAATCCCAAAACCAATTTAATAAGCACAAAAAACTGTAAATGAAGTAAAAATATAGAACTATAACTATAACTCATAGTATTATTTGATATGCAGTTGTTCTGTTATTAAACTGTTTTCAGGTGTGCCTGTTCTGGTTGTTGGGGTAACCCTGGTGATATCCATGGACAAATACAAAGCAGACGATCATTGCTGGCTCAATGTGAAGACCGATACAATCTGGGCCTTTGTGGGACCTGTGATATTTGTCTTGACAGTATGTAATCTTATTTTTGCTGTATCTGTCCCTGATTTTCATTCTATTCAGTATCTTTATTGGCCAAGCAAACAAAATTTCATGTCGCACATTTTGTTCCAAATTTCATGAAAGTTTATAGATGGTAAATGGCCTGCATTTGTACAGCACTTTTCTAGTCCTTAAGGACCCCAAAGCGCTTCACACTACATCCAGTCACACACACATTCACACACTGGTGATGGCAGCTACATTGTAGCCACAGCCACCCTGGGGCGCACTGACAGAGGCGAGGCTGCCGGACACTGGCGCCACCGGGCCCTCTGACCACCACCATCACCATGATGTAATAAATCTTAGACATAATCTGACAGAATGCTGTTGCCATAATTAAGCCAACAGTAACCACATAAGTAACTATCCTTATACTAAAAAATTAGAGATCATCTATTGTTACTAACAGAGTCGTTTTTAACAGTAGAAGGTTCAAGTGATGTGAGATTGAAAAGAAAGTTTACAAAAAATAACATTTTTATTTGTAGCCACTTATATCCTGATGAAGAGACTTTACACTTTGTCTTATGTGTCTGTTTTTGTGGTGTTTTTTATGAATATTTAAATGTGTTACATATAAGTTCCCATTCTTTTCAATCACTTCATATTATAAGGTTAAAACACCGCAATATTAGAGGAGAATATTATCATCCAAAAGATCAAATGATTCCCTATGAGACAGTGGGAAGGAAGAACCCGCTTTTAACGGGAAGACTTCAACAGATCCAGGCTCAGGGAGGGAAACGCAGAGTCACCAAACCAAACACAAACTGGAGAGTAGACAAAAATCACATCACAATGCATCAACAAGGAGCTGCAAAGAACCTGCTACTCAAATGTGGGGGCAAAAAAATGCAAATTTTATATTTTTAAAAGATTATTAAAAATGCTTTATGACAAAATGCATTTATTTGGTTTGCCTATTCATACGGTAAATTTTACTAATAGAAATACAAATATATAAACAAATACCTGGATGTCTTAATGAGAGTATCAGGTCATTCTGGATTTGTTGCAGAATCATAACAGTGAGTGTTTCCTTTATTTGTATATTCTGTTCCCTCCACCTGACAGAGGCGAGGAGCTGTGCAAACTGAAATCACGTACACTGCATTCACTGAATGCTGTTTGCTGTGATTTGATTTCCTGCAGCCTGAGCAGAAGGGGAACATCTCCCTCCTCCTCATGTGAGCTGGAGGCCAAGTGGTTCTGCAGTGGCACGTCTTGTGTTTGCCGGAGGCCGTGTTGATGCTGTTGTCCTCTGCCTGCAGGTCAATGCGGTTGTGCTGTGTCGGGTTGTCATGGTGACTGTTTCCAGCGCTCGTCGCCGTGCTAAGATGCTCAGTCCAAGCTCAGCATCAAAGATGCAGACCTATGACCTTACCTGGTGAGATACAATAAAGTTTGTAGCACTCTCTGTCACTCCCTCTCCTCCTGCTTTTTCTGTGCTCTCCTACAATTTTTTTTCTTCTGTTGTCTGGCCAAACTCGCTCTGCCTCTCTCTCTCTTCACACAGATACACACAAGCTTGCTATTTTCTTTTTGGTTGAGCAACCCATGATGAATAGAGACAGTGTGAGAGACGGGGAGTTTACTGTGGGAGTTGTAAGTGCTTATCAGCTTAACACCTGGGCCCTGCACAATTGTTTCTGTGTGTGTGTGTGTGTGTGTGTGTGTGTGTGTGTGTGCGTGTGTGTGTGTGTGTGTGTGTGTGTGTGTGTGCGGTTGCTACAACTTTGCTACAACTGTTATTCTTTAAAGCACTTTTCTTTAGAATTTCTCCTCACATTAAAGGACCGGATTGTTCCCTTCTCCTATTTAGCATTTCTGTTCCTATCAAGTCCTCTTAAAATTAGGATACCTGAAAAAATGAGTTCCCCACCAGGATTGGAAGAGGCACAGAGGAAGAGGACAGCCAAACGCTCTCTGTAGATGTCGTACAGTACGGTGTTTGTTCGTTGTATGTAACAGTCATTGTTGCCCTTAAAGTTGTGGCAGAAACAACAAAGTGTTGTTGTCCTGCTACACTAACTGTTAATTACATACATGTAAAAATGTATTAGTCTTCCAAATGCTGAGCAGCAAACACGACTTCCACCCAGTTCTGTTGCAGTGCTACAGTTAAACTTAGTAGCTCTGCTACAATATGCTTTTTTCTTTTCCTGTTAAAATGCAGATCTGTGGTGAGTTTTTGTTGTTTTTTACATAAATATTATTTCAGACACAGTCGGGTTTTCATTTTCTGGACAAAATAAATCCAAACCATTTGATGTTTACCCCCTTAATATCCACTCTTTCATCATCGACCGGTTTAAGGTGTGTCTTTTGTTTTAGGCCCAAATAAACGTTACTTTTTTAAACCGTGCAAATATATTTCCCATTACATCCTATAAATGTTAGTTTTCTGCTTCCAATTAAGCAGATATTCTTTAAAAAGTGGTTAAGATGTTAAAATCATTACAGGTAGGGAAGAAATTATTATTTAATGCACATCTACATGTACCTGTAGATATTTTATATGTAGAATGTGTGGGCATTCTTCAGTAATGTGCTTGTCAGAGGGTAATGCACAGGTCAAAATATTAAAATTAGAAAGTCTTGCTGTCTGAAGGAGAAACTGGGATCTCACATATTTTACCTGATAATTTCAGATTCAGGTAAACAAAATGCTTCAACCCAGCATCAAGCAGCTCTCTTCCTTTTTATCTCAGCCCAAAGCTGTTCCCCCCTCTCGCTCTCGCTGTCTCTTCGTTCCCTCACAAACAGACTGAAAGTCTGTGCCAGTGTTACGTCAATTGAAGAGATTAGAGGGAAAACGACTTTCAAAAATAAAAGGGAAGAGAGTGTTGGCTTTGTCCTTGCAGACACAGTGTAGACTGAAAACTCAATCTCTCTACCCAGGTGCAGCAGTGTGACAACAATAGTGGTTTGAACAAAGGCAACCTCTTCTGCCTTGCCCCATGAAATGGTTATTGGCCGTATAAGCACCGGGATCATTGAAAGAAAGATTGCAAAGGAACAGGAGCACGACTGTGGTAGGCGGTAAAATCTTTAGCTATGGAGAGATCTTTGATGAGAATTCAAGGAGGAAATATCTGAGAAGAAAATGTCATCAAAATAACTTGAAAACTCCGCTCTGCTCGTTCCTTCTGTCTGTCCTCAAGTTTTATAACAGGGTTAACAAAGAGAAAGAAAAGTACTCAGGAATCAACACAAGGTGAAGTTTTCTTTCATAGGTGTGAGACCTCGAGCTCATCTTTGCACACACCCGGTGTTCATGGATGTTTCATGTACATGTGTGCTTGCAGGGCTGTGACCCGTCCAGTTCTGATCCTGCTGCCTGTCCTGGGTCTGACCTGGCTGTGTGGCGTGCTTGTTCATCTGTCTGTGGTAGTTGCCTATATTTTCATTGCTCTCAACTCCTTCCAGGTAAGCAAAGCCCCAGCTCTTTGCATATTGCTGTAATATTAGTGGTTACTTGCAAAGGGAAACAAAACAGCAGCTGAATTGTGTTCATTTAGACCAGGGCTGCCCAATCCCAGTCCTCGAGAGCTACTATCCTGCAGCTTTTAGATGCATCCCTACTCCAACACAGCTGAATCAAATGGTTTGATTACCTCTTCAGCATGCCATCGTGTTTGGCAAAGGCCTGATAACAAGCCATTCATTTGATTCAGCTGTGTTGGAGTAGGGATGCATCTAAAAGCTGCAGGATAGTAGCTCTCGAGGACCGGGAATGGGCAGCCCTGATTTAGACAATGTGTCGATGTGATATATAATCTTTCTTCTTCATTTACTCAGAGAGGAGAATTCAAATTACATCATTCATTTAGACTTTTGATGCCAAAAGCCACACTCCTGGCTTTATGACGTGCACATGTCATGTACAGGAGAGGCTCTTAAATGAGTAAATGGCATACAGAAACATATAATACACAAGCTCAGCGTGATGAAACATTAATAAAACACACCACAGAGGTGTTTGGACCAAACAGCACAGAGGACTCCCTGAAGGTAACTGCCCAATGAGATGCTCTCAGATAACCGCATACTTCAAATGATACAACAAAGAGACAATAACAAGTATTGGTTGTTTTGTATGGTTAGAAAGCAGAGGTGTAACTGTAGACTGTCTTGTGATAAGTAACATTTGTGTTTTATTAATCATAATTAATGCAACATTACAGTTGCTTATGTATTGGGGGTTATCTACCAACTGGAATGTCAGTGCTTTGAACCTCGGCTTTTCAAGGGAACAATTCTATACTGAGAGTAGCTCCAGGTGCATCAGTCAGTGAGTGGGTGTGATTCAAAAAATTTAAAAAGTGCATAGAATAAAGTGCAATATGGATGTGTTCGTGAATTGGTGAATGTGTTGTGTAGCGTGGAAAGTCTTTGAACACCCAATAAATGTTTAAGAATCTCCCATTGGCTCATTCGGGCGGCCTTTTCACTTGAATGGGTTGAATTAGGTATTCAAGTAATCAATTACTTGGTTACTTTTGTCAAAAAGGTTTACTGTTAAAATGATTAAATGTATTAAAAAAGGTTTAAAGCATTTTGCACTTTTGTTGTAAAGAGGGAAACAAAGAACCCCAGCCTCTTCCAGTGGTTCAGTCTTCCTCCACCTTCTTGGTTAGCAGCTGCATAGTGAAGTGTATCCAGTGCTGTGATGTTGTGACGATACATGTTAGTGTAACCAGCACAACAGCGGAGAATACCACCTCTATTAAAATTCAGTATATAAACACACAGAGCCTGAAAAGTGATGAGTGAAGAAGAAATGCTCAGTGCATCATGGGAAGCCTCTCAGAAGTCTATGGCACCACACCAGGGGATTCAGTTTCACTTCAATTATAAGCTTGATCAAAAAGACTCTTTTTAATCCTAAAGACCAAATCCAGTTCAACTCAATTCAATTCACTTGTATTCATGAAGTGCTGCATCACATCAACAGTTGCCCCTACAATAATACAACTATAATCCAAACTGGGGGCTGGTTCCACAGTAGAGGGGCCTGATAGCTGAAGCCTCTCATTGTACTTTAGGAAACTGTAGGAAGCACATGTAAGCCTGCAGTGTTCTGCATGAAGTGAAGGAGTTTTGGGGCGATTGTCAGGTTTGATGATAAATGAGAACGCCACATGCAGACTCATAAGCAGGCGGGGATCTAATGAGAATAACCTTCTATTGAAGGCGGGACTGAAATCCAGGCGATAACATGATTACTGCAGACATGTCTGAATAAATAAAGCTGGATATGATCTGCATAGCAATGACAATGTATGCCATCTTTTTAACACTACTCCCAAAGACAGCATACGTATGTAATGTCAGAAGTATTGTGTAATGTGAAATCACATTACAATCACATTATTGATACGGTGATGTCCTTATACGTACATTCTTCAGTCATTTAGACAATAACCTAACACACAGTTTGTAGCAATAAAAAGCAGTACGGCATTAAAACTGACTGTATGCCAACAAGTACCTGCAACAGAGATGAGCAATCAGGCTGCCTTTCAGTTCAAGCCAATTCATGACTCAACAAAATTAGGGAGACACACCAACAATCAGATAATTACCTATGAGCAAGCACCAGGAAAAAACATCCGGCAGAACCAGGCTAATGGTGGAGCAGCCATTAGGAGTAAAGGGAAGAGAAGGGAAAAGAGAAGAAGGTTGTAAGGATACAGAAAACATCCACACTACGGGAGAAAGAAGAAAAAATAGCATTGCAGGCTCCATTTCTTCATTACTGCTACAGGGACTTATATCTAATAAGATTAACCCCAGTTATACCTCAAATACCAGCTTTCATAAGAGAATGCAGCCACAGACACATCTCCAGCACAGGCCTTTACAGAATGTAAAGCATCTGCAGCGTCGTTTAACAGAGTAGTTTGAGATGCATGGAAAAAATAAATACATAAAAACAGTGCATACAGGATCATGGTGCCACTGAGTTGCTCCCCATATGGAAAAGAAATAGAATAAACTTATAAAAGACTTGCATCAGATGTGGCCTTCTTCATATAGTGACTCATATAAGGCTGATATGATTTACTCATGAAAGTGGCCACTTTCATATATTGTTTTAGTAAATATCCAAAACATACAAGTTTCATTTATATCATTTTTCAAGGGATCTTATATCTGTTTTCACTCTTGTATGCTTTTCATACAAGTTTCACACAAGAC